AAATTGATAACCACACATACAAATAATAGCTTTCATTCACATGCTTTTGATCCTTATTAGTTTATACTTTATAGTGTTTCCATTCTTTTTTATGGTTGAAATTAAAAAAGTGTTCACATAGCTTTACTTTCTTTTAATTTAAACGTTTTTAGTGTTTTTTTTTCCTTTTACTTTGATCATATGACCTTAAACTAATCATCACATGAAACTCATGCTCTTCTAGTCTTCCACATCACAAGTTTCATGAACTGAGCATAGTTTTGGTCAAGGTATCCAGTAGTTATTTGGGCATGGGAAAGCCCGAAAAAACCGAGAACGGATGGATATATCACAATCCAATCCAATATACAGTGATCTGTTCAGACTTCAGAGTCCATTACAAGTGTAAGTTTAACTCAACTACTACTCTGTCAGACACCGAAAGAGGCCTGACAGAGGGCTTTGCAGCTACTTTGACGAGTGACAGGCATTGTGCAATGCCTGAAATAAGCATTTTTCAGGGCAGTGTATGTAAAACCTGCTTCTATGAATCTGTCAACCTAGTAGTAGGCGATTCTTAATCATGTTGGAATATGTTCATTGTAAATTTTGTTAAAGCCCAAAAAGACCGAGAAAGGCTGGATATATTACAGCCCAAACTACAGTCTGTTCAGACTGTTTCAGAGCCCATTACAGGTGTATGTTTAACTCAACTGCTAATATGTCAGACACTGAAAGAGGCCTGACAGAGGGCTTTGCAGCTACTTTGATTGAGAGAGTGCCTAAAAGAAGCATTTTTCAGGAGCAGTGTAAAACCTGCTTCTATGAATCTGTCAATGTGGTAGATTTTGTTTTAAACTCATACAAAGGCAGGTTTTAAAACTAAGTGATTACAAGTGGATAAGCTGCTTATATAATCTGTAGCATACATTATATGTCGATCTCCTGTAGGCAATGTTACACTTTCTGTCGCATGTACATCGAGAGTAGTATAAGCCAATTGAAGAATCTCAGAAACTTCTTAAACATAAACTGTAATTAGTTTGAGCTGAGACTAGCTATCTGCATCCCAGTCAGATTTATACTTGATAAAACCGATGAAAATACTGCAGAGACCTGGTGCAGTTTCAAGCATATTTTTTGGCGTTCACTTCGCTGTTTCATTGACACAATCTGTCAATTGTGCGTGTGAATGAGTACCAGTAACCAATGTTGACATATATTGCCACTTCTAGTTTCTGTGTAAACTTGTTTTGGTTTTATGAGGAATTTTCATTTCAATTTTCGTATGTATGTATGTACACCAGATAATAAATTTTCCCAAACAGTTTTGAGAATGATTTTCAAAATTTAACGAGAGCGATTTTTGTGACCTAGTACATCGTCAGAATTCTTCCTTACGGCATAGTTTCCTCAGATTATGCCATTCTATCGGAACCCTTGCACCATATTTTCCTAGGGCTTTGAATGCAAGATTAAAGTGGTCATTGCATGTTCTGTAATCTGCACTTTAAAGCTTGTGTGCTACTAGAAGATAATGTTGCCATATGGAATAAGACTCCTTCACATCACCAATGGCCATTTTTCTAAAGGATATGCTTTCTATTCAATTCCAAAGCATATCCATTTAGTAGAACTCATATATAGCAGGAATGGACATGATTAACAAGTACACACATAGCGACACACAAAGTCCCCAAAGAGTTAACTGAAGATGCATTACAGGGCAACACCTCCATTGGCAGTCGGCCGTCATATATATATTAGATGTGTTCTTTCTGAATGTACTAATGTATGGCGAGCAAACTGCCAAAGGAGATTTGCCCGGCAATTCTCTTGCAGTGTCATGTCGATCTCCACATTTCTCTGCGCAGAAGTCTCATTTAGAATCAATTCAACATGCGGCATCTTCACAGAAAAATCATATAGTCATCATTTGATTACTGGTAGGTATTAATTATGTTCATATATGCAATGGTAACATACAAATCGCTCCCAGCTGATATAGAATTAGAAACACTGACATGACTTTAATCTGGTCTGTCAACATATTGGACTTGGCTATCCTACACACACAAAAACTTCGACCGGTTCCCCTGCCATTGCACTAAAAAAAAAGGTCGGCAGGCATCATCTACGGAGTATAAAAAACAGTAACGGACTAGTAATATGATGGGATGGTCACCATGGAAGATCCAGAAGAATGTTATCTCATCAACAATCCATGCATTCTTATCTACTTATCCAGGAGAGCTTGAGTTGTACTGTTCAGGGTTACAGTACGTGACCCGTGGCCAAATAACAACCATTATAATATTGTTGATCATTCACAAAGAATTACCAGGAATGAGTTTAAACAAATTAATGTACATTTTGATTAATGATTGTCGAGTATGAAGTTTAAACGTTAAAACACGATTTCTTATTAACTACTAGAACATGGATTTTGGTTTGCAAAAATGCTAAATGGCCGGTATCATTTAGGATGCATGTCGGTATGGAAATCACAGAGCCATACAAGCAGTGAAGCATGTGGTTTAAACTTGAGACAACGCGCAAAGTAGCAAACCATGTAACAATGCAAATATTGAGAATATGCTAATGGATCTTCTCTGAAACATTTGCTTTCTTTTCTCAATGTTTTTAACTTTACAGTTGTTTTTCTTCTAACAAAAATCTATCATTAGATGCCTCATATGTCTCATTTCTTTGACCTCTGCATCAATCATACTCAAGGGATTCCTTTCATATACGACGTCCCTTTTTTTTATTTTAATCATATTTACATGTAGGAAGATTTGATCCAATATATTGTTCTTCTGAATTGATGTAGACTAATCTCCGTACTTCTTCAAATTTCCGCATACACATTTTATGTTTGAATAGTTGGTGCGAGACTTGAATTCGACTGAAAGAACATACTTTTGGATATTCTTCATTTTTGCTAATGCTGTGAAGTTTATACAATACTTCTTGCCAGACACTCAGACTTTTATTCGGAATATCTACAGGGAAGCCAACCTACTGACAGACGATGAGCTCTCTGAATTAGATAGCTAGCGTCACTCAGTCGGCTGGTTTTTGTGAATATTTGTTGTTTAGGCAACTCTGTACTAGGGTATAAAGATTTCGAAAATGGGAAAAGTAGCTTAATTACAAAATTATAGAATGAGTGAGATTCTCCGCGTTATCTTCTTGTCATATACTGATACAATAAAAGTGTGGAAATCAAAAGAGAATGAGTCTGTTTTTCTTCTTGGCATGGTGTCCTCTTGTAGGTGATGATGAAGTTTGTAAACTTATGCTCTCCAGCACTAATGATATATAGATAACTCTGTATAACATCATGCATTAACTGCATGACCATTAGTCATTAAGTGCCAAATAATATATATGCTCTTTGAACATATAAGTTATGTGGTGAACACAGGCCGGCCTATTGCATACGCCTTTGCCATGTAAGCGCTGTCACACATCCAAATATCTACCTGGTATCTATCGATCTTGTAATGCCTGGTAATGCCTGGTCTTACCCAAAGAAACTGTCATCACTATTGCGTAGGTGACCCTCAGCATTTAATCTGTCTGACGCCATCTTTTCGTCAATATTCGATCCTGTCAGGTTGTATTATTGATCTTAATTAATCTCAGTTATAAAACATACTAATCATCAACAGTGGCCCATTCATGCTAAGTAAACTCTGACTTAAAGCTTATGTACGAGGAAGATGTATGGAATAAAGCTACAGGGACACCCACCCCAACCTCACAAGAGGCATTGTTCCAAAGGATATACCTCTAATTCCAAAAGCATATCCATTTTACTGAACTCATAAATAGCTTAGGCCATAAACCAATATACACACAGCCCGGCCTCTTTCGGTATAACTGAAGAAGCATTACAGGGCAATACCTCCTCTGGCAGTCGGCCGTCATATTAGATGTCTACTTCTGACGTACTATTCATGGCGTGCATACTGCCAAAGGAGATTTGCCCGGCAATTCTCTTACAGTAACGTTTCTCCACATTGAAAATGCAGATGGGGGCTGTGCATTGTAGGTGATTTTTATCTTGTATTAGTAGCAGTTTTATTCGCATCTTCATGCACATTTAGGTATAATTGTACTTAGCAGTATTCAATAGCTAAACCAAAAATCCTCAATAGCTTATTCAAGTTAACACTGCACAACCTCCATATCTACATAGTTTTTATTTTGACATTTCAAAAATTTGTTGTTAGTTAATAGCTTTATATATTTTCCAGTTAGATGCTTTCTTTCGACATGCTGATGACTTATTTGAAATATGATATATCATGGTTCACAATATCTGTCTAGCTCTGACTTTTGTCTAAATGTTTCTCTTAACTGCTTATTAGCGGCTGCAGATACAGGAATTTTCACCGATGATAGAGACCATGCAGACCGTTCATTCTAACGTGTGCCATGAAATCTTTTGAAAAAAACTGCTATGAAGATAATAAGAAAAGCCAAGGGGGACCTGAAGCGGTTTGGCGGACCAGTCTCTTTGAACCTGTTTTTGCATGGGATAGTACTTTGTTAACACCTTAAATTCAATGTAAACATTAATGTATTTGTATCCGTGGATCTAAATATTAACCTCTAAATCTGTCGCAATTAACAAGCAAAAAAATTGAGAAGATACATATATTGTTGTTGTTTTACACAAGGCATTGATCAGACATCAGTATATATAGTTAAGAGTCAATTGCAGAATTTGGCTTGGTATCCTGCAACATGACATCAGGCCATATATGCTTTGCTACAAGAAACTGGATTATAGTTTATAGGACTGAACTTTAATGAAAACCTTACAATTGTGGACGCGTGGCCATACACTGTGCCACGTAGTTTTAAGCAACGGTTATGTAAGGTAGCTATGCCAACTGTGCTGTCATGGTAGGCATCAAAAGAAAGCTTGGTGTAGAATTAAGGATCTATCACCACAATGCATTCACTAACGAAAAGAAAAGGTGCCAGGAAAGGATTGGATTGAAATGAAGACCCTAGCTTACATTCATAATCTGATTCAATAGCGTCTTTTCGACTAGTGGATGCAATAACTAACCACATCAAATATCAAACTTATACGTCAAACATATATCCGCTCTTTCATTTTAATATTATATCTTCAACCGAAGGATAAATTCGATCCTCACCACTAATCATGCATGTCAAAACCATGGTATACCTTTCCGACAACATCAAGAACCTACAAAGAAGCAAATGTGTGATGCTGATAGCCTGATATCCTTTTTAAATTCTACATCCATGTGTTTAGGTCTTCTTCGTGTCACAAGTTCCATGGTTAGCTTCAAATTTCTCAGTAGTTCTGTTTAAACCATTTACTACAAGTAGTATCTGTACAGTACAAACAGAATTTGTTAAGCTTAAGCACATGAATTCATAAGTTTGGAAGTTTCAAGAAAAGTTAAACTGGGAGAAAATTTAAGACACTAAAACCAATTTCATGCTAAGGCAGATAGTCTCAGAGAGCAGCGGTTCGTATACACATGATTGAAGTCCAGGTGATCCAAATCTCCGGACAATCACTTGAATGTCCAGCAGAATACAATGTTGAACTACCTAGTAGTGAGATCATTATATTGTGAGCCATCATCAACCTCTCTGACAGAATTTAAAGCCTGTGGTGATTTTAGAAGGGAGGAATTGAAGCAAAAATTAATTACCTGATTGAGTGCAGTCCATTACCTGTGGTGATCATTATGTATTAAACGCTTGGGCAGCATTCAACAATGTAACTGAGCCACTGAAACTATCACCAGAACGTAAAATTTAGGATGAAGGTCAATATTGAATAACGTTTAGTCGATTGCAACATCTGAAATGCCTAAAAAGATATCACAACTTTTGATGTTCCCGTTTTTCATATACATCGTTCTATCACCATGTTCTCTGTGCTGTGTCCAATTCTGCCTGTGGGCATTTTTGTTCTTACTAAAATGTTTGGCAAGAAGATCAAAATTTGTATTGATATGCAACATGATTACAGTTCGTTAACAGTAATGTAAACCCCTTAATTCTATGTAGGAATCTTATATTTCTACCAATCATTCGCATAATTTCCTACTAAGTGAATTTGACATATATAGGGAAGTAATGAAGAACCCTCGTATAAATCAGCCAGGGAGCCCCACTGTATCGTCTCAGATATCATGGAAGTAGCATAGTTTACCGGCCGTGTCTGCTGATAAGTTTGCTTGTGCAGATGATAACATGCAGGAAATCCAGGAATGAAGTGTAAGCTTGCAACTCTGGATGACTGAACCATGAACCAAAACAATTTGCCCATTCCAAACGATAAACTGGTGCTGACCTCTTTAAATCTGTCTACTGCACAGTTATGTACCACTCCGCTAAGAGAGCTATTACGTCACAATTTCCTTTGGCCTTCAATATGGATTTTGTTCTCAGATACTATCGGTGCCAGCCATCAGCATTGCATAAGTATAGGGTGTCTTTGAATCAAAGGTTTGATTTTAGCTTCTTGTATGATGATTCTGCTCTTCATGCTTCCACAGAGTAGTCAGTCCCTCGAGTGGCCTTTTCTCCTATGTCCAAAACATTCAATAGAACAGTAAATTATCCACATGCAAGTTAGTAGATTACATTTCGTTTTTCCAAAATATAAACAGTAAATTTCGTTCTTTGATAGATAACAAATAAATTTAGCGCAAACACCGTTCCTTTAGATGGAAGTTCAACTACTAGTCTTGTATTATAAATTTGACAACTTTCAGTAAAGATATGATATGTTCATTTCATAAACTTACAGCTAGCCCAGATATTTTCGATTTCAACCAACCACATTTAGCCTCCTCGAGCTTTACCTGCAAATGGACCAAAATTAATAGAATAGTACATATATCTTATGTATCAGTCTAAAAAGCTTAACATCGTTTCCATGGCGCCTGCAGAAACTGGTATATAATGATTGTGTGGGCGAATGGCAGGGCAATTCTCCTTTGGCAGAAACAAGGGACAAAAGTGAGATGCCCAGTTCTTCTGCCAAAGGAGAATTACACTGTTATTCTTCTTTGCCAACACATGGTTGATCTGTGTCCTCAGTCGAGTAATTAATCATAAACATCTGTACATTCTTTTATACTGCATGTAGTATCAATCTTTAAATTCGCATATCCGACTATAAGAAGAAGCATATGCTAGAGATTATACCTCTAGGGCAACACCTTTCAGTCTTATCTCTATCTTCCTTATGGTCCCCAGTATCTTATGTGATTTTTTAGTGAAAGGCACCTCTCTTCGAAAGTTTGAATGATCTACATGTTTTCTGTAAATGTATGATAAAGTTAAACTGCAATGTTCTTCACTGAGATATTTTGTTCTGATTTTCTTGCTCGATCTAACCATTTTTAAATTAAAGACAGATACGACTATACCTCGAATACTAGACTATGATCAAGATATGTACACTAAAAAATTCGATGCTCCATATTTATTTATTTAGAAGATTGTATTATAGCGACTTTTTGATTGCAGTATTCTACATTAAGCGTGCTGCGCACAGTAACTGGTGCTACTAGAAAAATGTATGTATATATACTGGAAAAGTTTTGTATTCTTTTCTTGGAGGGTTACTACTCAGATTCAGCATAACTTACGTTAAGGCTTCTAACGTACGTACACTGAAACTAGTTAAGATGTTAGACGAATTGAAAGAAACAAATCAAGATATTTTGAATGGAGGGGGAACAAAGGAAGCGGAACATTCCCATGGATCTTCCTCTGTTTTCTGCTTTTCTCTGCTTTTACTTTTGCTTGGGAATATTTGCATTAACCAACCTTGAGTGGGGTGTGCATATAGCATTTCATACTGCATTTGTCATGCAAAGCTAAAGGCCCTCATATACCACTGAGGTCTGAGGCGACATACATTTTCGAATAAAAACCTACCGCTAGGTCCAAAAGACAGTTGAATGTGGACAATCGAGCTTTACAAGTTTCATAAACCTGTAATCCTGATTTTCCATATATATAGGGCTTTTTTCAATAGTCTACCATACAGACAGTTTACTGGGGAAAATGTTCCATGGCCAGTAAGAACCTGTATTAGATGGGCATGTACCTCAGTTTCAATTTTCATTTGAAGAGTTGTAGAAGTTCTTGTTTAGGCATCAAGCATGCATGCACATTTTCGCAAACCAGACTAAGTTGCAAGTTGGTGCAATATTAAACTTGTCAGGCCACTCCTAAGCATGATTTTAGTATAAATCAAGGTCTTTGGCATGATTTTGGTGGACATCCATGAAACTTATGTGAAGCTTGGTAGAATGTAAGGCACATGTATTGATTTCAATCCGGCCACCACCTTTATAAATGGAGGGGAACTTCATTAACCATTCATGGAAATGCTTCTATATATGTTGGTTTTAAGTCTGGGAAAATAAAAGTCTCTGACAAATGTTTAGGGAGAATATGATGGGAATGTTTGGTATTGGAAATTATTGGTTTTAAGTCTGGGAAAATAAAAGTCTCTGACAAATTATCGATCACATTGGTTTTCTCTATACTACCATGGAACACATGTCTGCATCAGTCTGGCCAACTCATGGGATTATATTCCATTGATTTATAAGTAGCAATATTTGATTCTATATATTGTTCTTTGTGAATCAGATGTAGACAACTCTCCGTACTTCTTCAATTTTCCGCATACACATTTTATGTTTGACTAGTTGGTGCGTGACTTGAATATCGATTGAAAGAACATGGGAGATACTAGGAGAAATAATAATTATCCGGGTAATTTTCATTTTTGCTAATGTTGTGAAGTTTAAAGAGTAGTATTTCTTGCCAGACACACCGCCTTTTATTTGGTATATCTACAAGGAAGCCAACGTACTGCGTATGAGCTCTCTGAATTAGCTAGCTAGTGTCAGTCCTGCCGTCTGGTTTTTTGTGAATATTTGTTGTTTAGGCAACTTTGTATTGTAGGAACCTCTGCTCGTTCAATCTGAGCAACCTGTTCAACATTGTACTAGCTAGGGTATAAAGATTTCGAAAATGAGAAAAGTAGCTTACAAAATTATAGAATGAGTGAGGTTCTCTGCATTATCTTCTTGTCATATACTGATACAATAAATTGTGGAAATCAAAAGAAAATGGTAGGGGCGTCTTTGCATGGTGCGTGTCCTCTTGTAACGATGAAGTCCGCAAACTTACGCTCTCCAGCACTAATGATATGTATAACTCTGTCTATGTAACATCATGCATTAACTGCATGACTGTCAATAAGTCATTAAGTGCCAAATAATATGCTCCTTCAACATATAAGTTATGTGGTGAACAGGCCTATTGTATACGCTTTTGCCATGTAAGTGCTATCACATGTCCAAATATCTACCTGGTACCTGGCAATGCCTGGTCTTACTCAATGAAACTGTACGTCATCACTAGTACGTGCGTAGGAGGTCCTCAGCATTTAATATCTGTCTGTCGCCATCTTTTTGTCAATACTCGATCCTGTCAGGTTGTATTATCGATCTTAATCTCAGTTAAAAACATACTAATAATCATCGACAGTGGCCCGTTCATGCTAAGTAAACTCTGACCTTAAAGCTTAAGTACGAGGAAGATGTATGGAATAAAGCTACAGGGACACCCCCAACCTCACAAGAGGCATTATTCCAAAGGATATACCTCTAGTCCTCTAATTCCAAAAGCATATCCATTTTACTGAACTCATAAATAGCTAAGGCCATTAACCAATATACACACAGCCTGGCCTCTTTCGGTATAACTGAAGAAGCATTACAGGGCAATACCTCCTCTGGCAGTCGGTCGTCATATTAGATGTCTACTTCTGACGTACTATTCATGGCGTGCATATTGCCAAAGGAGATTTGCCCGGCAATTCTCTTACAGTATCGTTTCTCCACATTGAAAATGCAGATGGTGGCAGTGCATTGTAGGTGATCGATTTTTATCTTGTATTAGTAGCAGTTTTATTCGCATGCATGCCCCCAGCCCACATCTTCATGCACATTTAGGTATAATTGTACTTACCAGTAGTAATGAATTTGCTAAATAAAAAATCCTCAATGCTCAATAGCTTATTTTCCAGTTATGCTTATTTTCGACATGCTGATGAATTATTTGTAACAGTTTTTTAGGCACGAAATATGTTTAGTTTCGATATTTGTAAACTCTTACTCTACAAATTAAGGCTGCAGATACAGGAATATAATTTTCACCGATGATAGAGACCATGCAGACCGTTCATTCTAACGTGTGCCATGAAATCTTTTGAAAAAAGCTGCTATGAAGATAAATAAGAAAAGCAGTTTGACAGACCAGTCTCTTTGAACCTGTTTTTGCATGAGATAGTACTTTGTTAACACCTTAAATTCAATGCAAACATTATGGTATTACGTATCTGTGCAAAATATCAACCTCCAAATCTGTCGCACAAACAAAAAAATTGAGAAGATTCCTATATTGTTGTTGTTTTACACAAGGCATTGATCAGACCAGAGCACATAGGCAGCAAAAGTTAACAAAAAAACCTTACTGTAATTGTTTGATCCCTTGCCAACGCAAGAGCATAGATAAAACTAGTAACAGTATATAGTTATGAGTCAATTAGAGAATTTGGCTTGGTATCCTGCAACATGAAATCAGGTTATGCTTTGCTACAAGAAACTCGATTATAGTTTATATAGGACCGAACTTTAACGAAATCCTTACAATTGTGGTTATGTGGTCATACATTGCGCCACATACTTTTCTGCAACGGCCTTGTATGGCAGCTATGCGAACTGTGCTGTCATGGTAGGCATCAAAAGAAAGCTTGGTGTAGAATTAAGGATCTGTCACGATAATGCATTCACCATTGAAAAGAGAAGGTGCCAAGAAATGATTGGCTTGAAATGAAGACCCTAGCTAACTTTCATTGCCACAAATCTTTATCGTTGCTTGTGTGCTTACGTTCATAATCTGATTCAAAAGTGAGGTTAATAGAACTGATTTTTGTGAAGATGGCACCTTTTCAAATAGTGGATGCAATAACTAATCACATCACTTATCAAACACTCATACGTCAATCATATGTCTTTCGCTCTTTCTTTCTAATATTATGGTATCTTTAACCGAAGGATAAATTCGATCCTCACACCACTAATCATGTCAAAACCATGGTATACCTTTCCAACAACATGAAGAACCAACAAAGAAGCAATTGTGTGATGCTCTCTTTAAATTCTACATCCATGTGTTTAGGTCTTCTTCGTGTCACAAGTTCCATGGTTAGCTTCAATTTCTTATTACCTATGTGCATTATACAAGCTCTGAAAAAATATATACCATTTGTTAATACTGGCCACAAATCTCAGTAAGTGTTTAAACTTACGACAAATAGTATCAGAAAGCCGCAGTTCATGTACACTTGATTGAAGTCCAGGTCTAAGTCTACAGACAATCATTTGAACATCCAACTGATGGACTGAATGTTGAACTAGTTAGTAGTGAGATCATTGTGAGCCATCCCCCACTGCTACAGAATTTAAAGACGCGGTGATTTGAAAATGGAGGAATTGAAGCGAAAACTAATTACCTGAGTGCAGTCCCTTTTCAGGGGCTAAACATGTATATCTTTTGTATGTATCAAGTGCTTGAGCAGCGGCTTATCCATTCAGCAATCTAATTGAGCAACTGAAACTATCACCACAGCTTTATAACGTAAAATTTAGGATGAAGGTCAATATTGAAGAACGTTTAGTCGATTGCAACATCTGAAATGCATAAAAAAAATCATCACAATTTTGAAGTTCCCATTTTTTCATATATATCGTTTTATGACCATGTTCTGTGCTGTGTCCAATTCTGCCTGTGGGCATTTTGTGTTTTTACTCTTGATATGTTTCACTAGAAGATGAAAATTGTATTGATATGCAACAAGATTACAGTTCATTAAACAGTAATGTAAGACCCTTTCTTTGTAGGAGTCTTATATTTTTTACCAATCATTTCACAACTTCCTACAAGTTAGTAAGTTACTTTGACATACATAGGGAAGTAG